GCAAGGAATCCGCTGAAGGGGTCTGCGCACCTGCCTTGGAGGTGCCTTTCCCCTTTGTGACCCGTTTGTGACCGCTGCGTGTGTCCCAGTGTTTTCCGTTCATGTAGTCTTTGCAGTCGGTGTGTTCTGCTCATGCTCAGGCCAACTCGAAAGGGTAGAAACTTCCCTCCTGCTCTGACTTGCTCATCAAGACGCCTTTGCTGACTTCCCCTGGAGCCACTTTGCCTGAGCAGAGGGTGATGGGCTGGGCGGGGCGCCAGGGGTGCGATTGGATGCTGGATGCTGTCCGGGGGTGCGTGTCCAGGCCTCCCCGGTGCAAGAAGAGGGATAATAAAATCCCGGCTTGAGTCGTTTGTCCCTCCCACGGGGACAGCCACGGGCCTCCCGTCTGTTCACCTGAGTCTTCCTGTTTCTAACTTTTCATCCTGAACGTTGTGCGACCCTCACCAAGGGAGAAGGGATCTTGTAATGAACCCCGCACCCATCACCCACGGCTTCTGCCTATCAACCTTCAGCCATTTCTGCTATAGTTATCCCCTTACCAAAAGTGACCTTTAACCTGCAGTAGTATTTGAAACCCAATCCAAGTCATTTTAGTTAATCTGAGAATACTTTGGTCTGTATCTTTAACAAACAAACAAAAAACATGACCACAAAACACACGGTTCATAGCAGTATTCTGTAGTGACTGACCAGTCGATTTTCTAGTTTTTCTGTCTAACTTGAAAGGTCTCCCGACCGAATTGCTTCCTTTGCATTGGGATCCAAACAGAGTTGACCCTGCATTTAACCGATGTGTCTGTTAGGTCTCCCTTTAAAAAAAAATATCTTTAAGGGGCACGTGGCTGGCTGGGTTCGTGGGTCATATGACTCTTGACCTCTGAGTTGTGAGTTCGAGCCCTACCGTGGGCGTAGATGTGAGTTCGAGCCCTACCGTGGGCGTAGATGTGACTTTAAAAAAAATATTTAAAAATGGATATATCTTTATTTTGTAGGAACAGTTTTAGATTTATAGAAAAATTGAGAGGATGGCACAGAATCCCCTCACAGCCTGCGGGCAGATCCCCCTGTTGTGAACGTCCTACATTCTCATAACGCATTTGTTACGTCATCGAACCAGGATGGCTAGATTATAAGTAGCTCAGAGTCCATGCTTTCTTTCGATATCCTTGATTTTTACCCAACGTCCCTTTGTGTCCGAGGATCCCATCCAGAACAGCACACTGGCTCGAGCTGTCCTCAAGCTGGGGCACGCTCTCTGCCTCTCCTCGACGGCCCCCCTGGGCAGCTTGCCGGAGCCCGGATCAGGGATGCTGTAGGACACCTGTCAGCTTCGATGGGTCTGACGTTATTCTTGTGTGGGTTTGAGGCAGAAGACACGTCAAGGGCACAGGCTCTTAGCCTGATTCAAGCTGCTGTCATTTGAACGGCTCTTCCCTCTGTTACTGCTTCTTGCGTCCCCCACAGCTTCCGTGGCTTCTGTCCTGGGGCGAGTCTGCGTCCGCACCGGGCAGGTGCCCCGCCCCAGGCTCCAGCTGCAAGGTGACCCCTGTAGCAGTGGCTTGGGGCTGCCCAGACAGGGTCGTCACAGTTCATCCCCACCCCACCCCCAGAGCTCCTGTGTCTTTGCCACGTGAAGTGGGCCAAAGTGTCCTGTGTGCCCACAATGTGCCCACAGGGCAGAGAGCAAGTTTGCCAGTGTGTGGTTAAAAGGCCTAGGGTGGGCCCTTCCCTGCTTTCCACCTCTCCTGCCCCAGCCAGTTTTCAGGACAGACTGGTTCTTCCTTCTGAGCGATGCCAGTCCTGCGTGGGCATGAGGTTTTCCCAAGGACGGCGGGTCTCCAGGCACCTCCCGGAGACCCGCATGGCTAGGCGCTGTGACAGGAGCATCCTTAGGTGTTCCAACCCCTGGGTACCTGGTGTGTGCTGGCCCCATGCAAAGGCCTTTCCAGGTTAAGGTGTCCAATCCTGTCTTGGCCCCATTTGACAGCTGACAAAACTGAGGCACAGAGAGTTTCAGCGGTGTGAGCACAGGTGCCTCTTCCTTCCAAAACAGCTCCTTCCTCACACCCTTTCCGGGGGAGCTGGTACCATCTCAAAGGCCCAATACCTTCTTCTAGAAAGCCTAGGGCCCTTCCTTTTTCTTCCATTTGAACAAATTATGAAAAACTCCCACCCAGTTCCAGATCAACATGTACGATATGCAACAGGACGAGCAAAACAGAGCATACCTGTAAAGTGGAATGCTATGGGGCCATAAAAAGGAATGAAATCCTGATTCCTGGTACAACCTGGGGAATGTCGTGATGAGTGAACGAAAGTAGATGCGAGAGGTCATGTGTCGTACAATTCCGTTTGTATGGAAAGTCTAGAAAAGGCAAATCCGTAGAGACAGATTAACAGGTGCCTAGGTTGGGGTGGAGGGATGGGGAGGCTTTCTTTGGAGGCGATGACCATGTTCTAAAATTAGATCATGGTGATGGTTGTATAACTTCGTGACTTTGTGACTTTTCTAAAGACCACACAACTGGACGCTTGGAAGACATGAACTTAGTGATATGTAAATCATATGCCAGTAAAGCTCTTTTTTTTAAAAGGAAGGTTTTTGTTTGTTTGTTTGTTTTGTTTTGTTTTGTTTTGTTTTAGAAAGAGAGGGGAGTGGACTGAGGGAGAGGGAGAGAGAGAATCCCAAGCTGAGTTCCCACTGAGCATGGAGCCCAACTCTGGGCTCAGTCGCACAGCCCTGAGATCATGACCTGAGCTGGAGTCAAGAGTTGGATGCTTAACAAACTGTGCCATCCAGGTGCCCCTAAAAAAGGAGTTTTAATTATAAGACCGTTACCAATGGGCCTTCTACCTGGGTACAGATGTGTCCCACCACCTCCCTCCACTGCCGCGAGGGGCAATCGCCCTCTTTTCTGTGGCACATACGCTTCCTTCTGGTGTTCACAGTCTTTCCACTTGTGTGTGTAAGTGTTTTTTGTTTTTTATTTTTATTTTCATTTTTTAAGTAGACTCCACACCCCATATGGGGCTTGAACTCAGGACCCTGAGATCAAGAGTCACATGTTCCACCGACTGAGCCAGCCAGGTGCCCTGTTTTATTATTATTATTTTTTTAAAACCCAGCTCTTTTTTTTTTTAACCCTTCCATTTTAAAATAACTTAATGGAGGTATAATTCAAGTACCATACAATTCACCCCCCAAAGTGTGCCGTTCTGCCCTCGTTGGTCTGTTCATAGGGTCGAGAATTTGTCACCACAGTCCGTGGGAGGACATTTTGCCACTTCTAAAAGCGATTGTGGACCTTTTAGCTATCACAGCCCCCCGGCAACCGCCCGTCTACTTTCTGTCCCTATGGCTTTGCCTGTCCTGGACATTTCACACAAACGGAATCGTTTGCTCTGCGGTCTCTCGTGTCTGGCTTCATTCCCTGAGCACCCTGTTTTCAAGGCTGATGCGGAAGTGGGCCTCAGTACCTCCTTCCATTTTATGGCCCTATAATACCCCATTGTCTGGATAGACCAGGCTCTCTTTGTCCGCCTGTCAGTTGATGGCCATATTTGTACCGTCTCTACCTGTACAAACCCCGTGAGGGCAATGACCCAAGGATAAAAGGACGATTCCTTGCAGGACACGTTGGGGTCAGTGCTCTATGAGAATATGGGATGTCAGTAGGAATTGTGACCATTTAGCAGGTGCTCAAGGCACGTCACGTGAATATGGCACTTACTGCTCAGAAAACCAGATGGGGCAGTACAAGTGTACGTACGTATCTCTCAGCTGGAGCTCTGCTCTGAGTCTTATAATTAAAACTCCTTTTTTAGGAGTTTTGTGTTTTTAGTATCGTATGTGGGTGTCTGTGTAACTCACTCACTCACACACACACACACACACAAACTACCTAGCTAGCAGGAAGAGGCCGACCTGGGATTTGAACCCAGCACCTAGACTCCCAGCTGCACGTGCTCTCAGCCAAGCCACAGAGCTGGGGTGGAGGTTATTTGAGTCCCCTCTCTCCTGGCTGCTGATTCAATCCTGTTCCTTTTCCCCGTGTCCTGGGGCAGCGATCCAACCCTGAAGTCTGGTTCCAGATGCTCCAGGCAGTTCACTCCAAGACATTGCCCACGTGAGTCAGAGCGCCTAGAGCTGCAAGGCTCCGCTCGTCATTCCCATTTGCCCTAATAGCGCAGGTGAGAACAACTGAGGTGTCCAGCGGGAGGGGGTCGCTTAAGCCCCTTTACGGAGAATGAGGCGGCTCTGTACGGGCTGAGGTTGAGTAATCACTAAGACAAGAGTGTCACAGGAGAAAAACTGCAAAACAGGGCCCATTTGCTGTTGCTGGTGGGAAGACACTGACCGGGTGCCTCGAAAGGACGCCGCCGAAATGAGTGGCGACAACATGTGCGTCTGGACGGAGGTCTGCATGGCCGGGAGTGAGATAGGAGACTTGCCTTTCACTGAATTCCCATTTGCAGCTCTGAGTTCCGTACCATGTGTGCAGAGTGCTACTTACTCCTCCAAACTAGTCGAACAAGACTGCTTCCCCTGTTCATAGTCCCCCAGAATCACCCGGAGAGCCCACGAAGCCCTCCGACAGGCCAGGTTCTTACAGACGGGTGGGGCACGGGGCTCTAGCATGTCCACGTACCTGGGAGATGGGATACAGCTCGTGTGTGAGAACCACCATCGTCTTCATCCTTGTCCCTCGTCCCTAACACCCATGCTCTGGGTGGAACTGTTTAAAAATGAGAAATCAGGCAGAGAGAAGCGGAGTCCTTGACCTTGTCATGAGCAGGAGGGCTCTCGGAGAAATCAGGAGCGAAGCAAAGCCACTTCGTGGGGACCTCCCAGCTCCCAGTCGACCAAGCTCACGACAGCACCCGGGCTACCAGCCAACTCTGTTTTCCCATTGATGGGTCAACCACTGGGCCTGGCTGGACGAGGAGATGGGGGCGCTGTCCCAGTCGGTGTAGTGACCGTTCTCTTGTTTCTGCAGTTCCTGACCAGGCTGACCGAGCGGTTTGTGCTGGGGGTGGACATGTTTGTCGAAAGGTTGTGGAACTTTTGGATGGACCTCTTGGATGTTCTTGGACTTGATGGTAAGTGGGGCTGGGGGGGGGGCATTCATTTAAGGCTGTTTTTTTCTAGTGGTTCTCAAGATGTGGACTCAGTATCCGCAGTGGGTGGCATGGGGGACCCCTTGGAGGAGGCAGGGGGACACAAGTGAACATTTTTTCTTGGAATAGTTGCGTAAAGAAATGGCCCATCCAGACTGAGGTGGACGGATGCTGTTTGGGGTGAGGTACGAGTGGGTGTTGCTGACTCGGCTGCCCCCAGGCAAGCCGCGGGGACCAGAGGTAGGGCCCCTGGGCTGTGGGAATACATCACAGACTACGATAGCTATTTAGGCAGAAAGGGATTTCATACAAAGCTTGGGTCGCTTGCAGAGTTTTCAGAAGGAGCGGGGTGTGGCCCCCAGAACCCGGCCAAACTGGCCTGCCCGGGGAGTTGCTGCTCTGCCCCAGGAAATCGGGAGGCTGCCTCTGGAATTGGATTCAAGGTCACGGGCCCCAGTCCAGGCTGCCACCTCGCTTGCCAGGAAGTCTCCAGTAGCCTGTGTTGAGGTCCCCAGGATCAGCCCCAGGCACGGTGAGCCACTAGGAAGACCCAGGACTCAGCATTGTAGTCATGCTCCTGGCTGTGACTTCTTATAGTGTAAGGACACAGAGCACCATCAGCAAGGGGGACAGCTTGCTCTCGTTCCTCCAGCAGCAGTTTGTGGTGACGGCTGTCATGTGTCGTGTAGCCCGGAAGCCTGTTAGAGACCCAGTGCCCGAGGTGTTTCTTAGGGGCTGGTCACTTAGGCACCTTCTGCCTGGCATGGACCCAGACTCGACTCCCCTCAGGAGAACAGGCGGTCAGCATAAATCATGATTTGTACAGACAGTCCAGGCACAGAGAGGCCCACTTATAAGGGAATGGAGGGAGCCCTCCGCCATACGTGTGTTTTCCCCACACCACCAAGCAGTTGACTCAGTCCTCCGTGGACACTGACCAGGCGTCCCGCATATTTAGCTGAACTCTGACCCTGTCTTTCTGGAGATAGTGTCAGAGCGAACCCACAGGGCAAGGGCTCGTCCCACAGGACGCCCCTTCCTTTCCAGATGCCGGTCGCAAGCCCACCTGTCCTTCTGGCAGACTAGCCGTAGATAGAACATTCCCACGCGCCCCCGGCTGGGTCTGACTGATCAGCTAGAGCGGCTCACAGAACGCCAGAAACCCATTTACTTAACTAAGTGACCAGTTCATTACAGACGGATGTAACCCGGGAATAGCCAGATGGCAGAGACGTGCAGGCGAGGTCTGCGGGAAGGGCTAGGGAGCCTTAACATTTTCCAAGCGTCCCAGCCCAGAACCTCCCCAGACCCCGTCCCGTCGGGTTTGTATGGAGACTCTGTGACACAGGCATGACTGAGTAAATCTTTGGCTGGGGCTGACTGGTTTGACCTCAAGCCAGTCTCCCCTCCCTGGACATCAGGGCACGGGACAGAAATCCCAGCCCTCTCCCTGCCGTTGGTTCTCCCAGCACCCAGCCCCCGTCCTTAGGGTCTTTCCAAAAGTCACCGCATTGGAATACGGCTCAAAGGGGGCATCTTACAAATTATCAAGACACCTTTACTGCTCTCACTCCTTAGAAAACTCCGAAGGTTTTAGGAGCTCTGTGCCGGGCATGTGGACAAAGACCAAATATGCATACTTTGTACTATAAATCACCATACCACACTCCAAAATCCAAGTTCCCAAACACCAGCCAAGGGCCCGTCCTCCCTGCACACTTCTCTAGAGAGCAGCCTCCGGCTTTCCGTGGGAACCACTCCGCACACCTCCTAAGTCAGTGTCCTCTCTCGGCCCCTGTGGCTCCTTCTCAGCCGGTCAGCCAGCGTGGTTTTTGTTTTTATTACTACTTTTGCTGCATCGAGTGATTTCTTAAAAAAAAAACAAAAAACATTAGTCAGGTCAAGTACTTCACCTTCAAACTGCCCAGGGACTCCTGTTGCACTTGGATCCCACACAGGGTTCCCACCGAGGGTAGTCGGCTCCAAGGATCTGCCCAACCTCTCTACCATCCCCCGGCCTCCATCCTGTTCTTGGACACAGCTTTGGTTTCTCTAGGTGTCCCCTGCCAGAAGCAGTCCCTCAGCCCTTTGCCTGGTGGGTCTTTTCCATCCTCTACTCTCAAGTATATGACACCTCCTCCAAGAAGCCCATCCTGACTAACCCGTGTACAGCGACCCGGTCTGTTATCACAATCACCATCACTTGTCAGCTATGATGTCACGTGCATGTGCGTGCGTGTGTGTCTGCGTGTGTGTGTGTTTATTGCCTATCTCCTTCTGGAATCTCTCTGCTCTGAGTGGGGTTTTGCCCATCTCCTCCAGATTGTCCCCTCTGCCTTGCTCTGCCTCGGGTGCATAGGAGCCCGTGATTCATAAAAGCTGGAGGACTGTTGGCCCCTGCTTGGCTGCTGGTGTGATTTCACACCGATGTGCGCCCCCAGAAATGCCCCAGAAGCCCCATATCTGTGAACTTGAGCTGATTGGGGGATAGAGTCTTTGCAGATTACCGTGGATCCTATATGCAATGTCTGGTGTCCTTATACGAGGAGGGAAATTTGGACACAGAGACTGAGAGAGAAACACAGAGAAGAGACAGCCTTGGCAGAGACCAGAAAGATGTGGCCACAAGCCCAGGATGCCTGGATCCCCTCGGGAGCTGGAAGAGGCAGGAGGGACCCCCTGTAGAGTGCTCAAGGAGCCCCGCCCCACCCACACCCTGATGTCGGAATCCTGGCCCCCAGCCAGCAAGACAGTACATTCCTCTTGCTTAAAGCCACTGTGTCTGGTCACAACAGCTGTGGGAAACCAGTACAACCCTGCCGGGTGCAGGGTCTCCGGGAACCCTCCCAGTTGCCTTTGACACTCCCACCTGAAGAACTGGAGACCCGGCCCCGCAGGCGGGGCTGCCTGGTTCACACCCACTGTCGTCCCCCCTCAGCCCCTGGGAACCCGTCTCCAGCCTTGAATCACCGAGTTCAACCTGGGAGAGGCCTCAGACCAGCTCAGGGCACCTCACCACTGGGGCAAAGGATCCGCCATAGCGGGACGGCCCTTTGAGAGGCTGCTGTGCCACCTGCAGCCTCCTGGGGCTGCTGAGGACTCCTCCTGGGAGCCAGGCTGAGTCAGCTCACAGCACGGATAGAGCAACTGCGTGCAATCGTGCTTGGACTCCATGTTCGCCGCTGCCCAGCTTCCATCCCCGACCAGAGCGCCCTGGAGAAGCGAGCCTTATTGCAGAAAGTTGCACGCAGCTTGGAGCGGGAAAGCTAGAGTAGCGACAGCCTCGCGATTACACGGGAGACGATCAGAACAGCATCCTTCCCCAGAGTCCTCACGGGCTCATGTTCGTGGCCAGGGCCGCTGGCCCGTTCCAGAGATGAAAGCACTCCCTTTCCTGTCACGTTCTCCCCTCCCTGTAGCTGGGGCATCAGCTTCAAAACATCCAAAGGCCTTTGGGATTTGCGCCTTAGGCCTAGAAGTGGGAATGTGCAAAAGGCAGGAGACTGTACCCCAGAGCTGGCTATTCTGGTGCACAGTGTTTCCACGGGTACAGTCCTCTAACTTCCAACTCCAGAAGTTTTCAGGGTCCCGGAGCCTCCCAGGACCAACGGAGCTGCCCAGTGGAAACGGAGAGCCAGATGAAGTTACGTGTTCCAGTTGCTGCGTTAGAAAAGTAGAAAGACATGAACTGAATAAGGTGTTTTAGCCGACCCAGCAGATTCCAAATATCGTCATCTCAACTTGTGATCAATATGAAAAATTGCTAATGAGGTGCCTTACATTTTGGGAGTTGTTACGCCGTCGAAGTGCAGCCTGTGTTTGACACGGCACATCTCCATTCAGACTTGCCACATCTCAAGTGCTCTGTGGCCACATGTGGCCGGTGGCTACCATAAAGGACACAGGGGCGTTAGCCCTGCTCTAGATCTGGTGGCTCAGGCCACCGTTCTGGGAAGTGGAGCCCTTGTCCAGGAGTTGGAAGGACGGATTTAAGTCTCGGATTTAAGTCTCGTGGCTTCGTCAAGTTGTTTACGTTCTCTGAAGGCTTGGAAGCCACAACCCGCGCCCCCCCTTGCACTGTGCTATGACCACGCGTTGGGACAGCGCAAGGAGTGGATGGCTTCAAGCACCAGACTCCCTACGTCGAGGTGCCCGCCCTGCCCTGCTGTAGCTGTGGGAGTCCCCACATGGGAAAGGCTACATATTGTCAGCATGTTGTAAGGACCAGATGACAATTAGTGCAGAACCATTAGAACAGTGCCTAGCCCCAGGCAAATGCCTCGTAAACACTCTGTGGCTTACAGAGGGGCTCTGCTCCAAAAAGTACATCATCACGCCCTTCTGGGACTCACCCAGTCCCGATCCCCTGTGCTGAGGGCCGCCTGCATCTGCCTGCACACAGAGTCAGCTCTCCCTAGGACCCTGGATCGGGGTGGGCCCCTGACCCAGGATGGCCGGCAACCTCACAGGAGGGGGAACCTTGGGCCCAGAAGCCCCACGAAGATGAAGGCAGAGATCGGGGAATGATTGTGTGAGTCAGGAAGGCCAGGGATCTCCCACACACCCCAGAAGCTGGGGTAAGGCCCGGGACGGAGTCTCCCTTGTGGCTTCAGAAGGGGCCACCTACGGACACCCTGACCTCACCCTTGTGACCTCCATGCTGTGTGAGAATTTGATCCTATTGTCTGAGCCACTCATCCCATGGTTCTTAACTGTGGCAGCGCCAGGAAGTGGATACAGGCAGGACATCCAGAGCTGCTCGTGTCCCAGTTAGGATTTTTAGGGCCTCCGCAGGGCAGGGCAAGGTTGCTCCTCACTGGCCTTGCTGGAGAGAAGTGCAGTTTTTATTAGAGTCGCGGGAACTGTGTTACCATTCTTGGCCCCAGTCAGGGATTATCCCCAGGAACCCTTGTACCCACTGGTCACCTCACTTAGTCCCTTGATAACCTGACAGTACATGCTGTATGGCTTTAGGTGGTGAGTTTAGTCTGGTGGTTCTCAAAGTATGCTTGGAGGAACCCTGGAGGGGGTTCCCTGAGGCCCGGCAGGGGAAACTGTGAGGTCACGCATTCGAGGCCTGCTTCCACAGTTTTTTATATCGATTCCATGTTGATAATAGAGCGAACACGTTGGGCTAAGTATCTTAACGTTAATTTTTAGCTTTTTCTTTTTTGCCCTTTTTAGTGTGGCCTCTAGAAATATGTAAATTACCTCTTGTGGCCCACCTTTGTGACTGGCATCCTATTTCTGAGGATTCAAAACCAGATCTGAGGATCCAGCCCTCTCCTCTCAAAGTGGATATTATAGAGATTTGTAAAAACACAAAACAACTCCACTGTTTTGGTTGCGGGGGGTTTGGGGGCTTTGTTTTGGAAAGCAGTTATTTTTCATGAAAAATATATTATTTGTATTAACCTATAAATGGGTTCACTGTTATTTTTACTTTTATTTATTTATTTTTTTAAAGATTTTATTTATTTATTTGACAGAGATCACAAGCAGGCAGAGAAGCAGGCAGAGAGAGAGGAGGAAGCAGGCTCCCTGCTGAGCAGAGAGCCCGATGCAGGGCTCTATCCCAGGATCCTGAGATCATGACCTGAGCCGAAGACAGAGGCTTTAACCCGCTGAGCCACCCAGGCACCCCTCACTCTTATTTTTAAACAAATTAATAATAATAATGTTTAAAAATGAATTTATTACCTTTGCTTAATTTTTCTGTAAACCTAAAACTCCTCTGAAAAATTAAGGCTATTTAATAAGAAAAAAATTTTTTAGAGAAAAATTAGACTTAAGGAATGAGGTATATCTAAGTACAAGATCATAATGAAGTTCTTTTTTATTTTATTTTTTTGAGTAGGCTCCATGCCCAGTGTAGTGCCCAGTGCGAGGCTTGAACTTACAGCCCTGAGATCAAGACCTGAGTTGAGATCAAGAGTCAGACGCTTAACTGACTGAGCCACCCAGGTGCCCCCAATGAAATTCTTTTTTATTTGTTTTTAAGCTTTTATTTATTTATTTGACAGAGAGATCATAAGTAGGCAGAGAGACAGGCAGAGAGAGGAGGAAGCAAGGTCCCTGCTGAGCAGAGAGCCCGAAGCGGGACTCGATCCCAGGACCCTGGGATCATGACCTGAGCCGAAGGCAGAGGCTTTAACCCACTGAGCCACCCAGGCACCCCTCAATGGCTTTTCTTTAACCAATGTAGAAAAAAATCCTAAAATTTATATGGAACCACAAAAGACCCTGACTGGCCAAAGGAATCATGAGAAAAAAGATCTAAGTGGTACTTCCTAATTTCAAGTTGTATTTTAAAGCAGGAATGATCAAAATAGTATAATTCTGGGGTTAAAACAGACATACAGACCAATGGAAGAGAACTGAGAACACAGAAATGAATCGGGGATCTATGGTCAACCAGTATTTGACAAGGGATCAAAGAATACTCAGTGGAGAAAAGACAGTGTCTTTAATAGATAATGCTCAGAAAACTGGATATTCACGTGTAATAGAAAGAAACCAGACCCCTATATTATGCCCCTCACAAAAATGAACTCAAAATGTATTACAGACTTAAATGTAAAACCGGAAACCATAAAACTCCTAGAAGAAAACAGGTGGTAAGCTTTTTGACCTTGGTCTTGGCAATGGCTTTTGGTGTTTTGTTTTGTTTTTTTAAATTTGACACCCAAAGCAAAAATAAACAAGTGAGACCACATCAAACTGAGAAACTTCTGCACGGCAGAAGAAACAATCTACAAAATGGAAAGTACCTACGGAGTGGGGAAAAACTATTTGCAAACTGTATATCTGTTACGGGGTTAATGTCCAAAATGTATGAAGAACTCCTACAACCGAAGAGTAAGAAACCCACAGTCTGATTAAAATATGAACAAAGGACCCAAACAGACATTTTTCCAAGAAAGACATACAAACGTCCAATGCTTATATAAAAAGGTGCTCAGCATCGCTAATGAGGGAAGTGCAAATCAAAAGCACACGAGAGGGCGCTGCTCCTCCCCATTGTTCTGGGCCAGGCGTGGCCATGGACTGGTGAGGGAGCAGCCAGAGCACTTTGGAAACCAGGCAAACACTCGCTCACAAAAGCACACGAGGTATCATCTTACACCTACTGGAATGACTCCTGTCCCAAAGACAAGATTACAAATGTTGGCGAGGACATGTGCAACAGGGAACCCTTCCTTGTGCGCTATTGGTGGGATTCTCAATTGGGACAGTCACTATGGGAAACAGTATGGAAGTTCCTGAAAGAATTAAAAATCAGAGTTACTGTATCATCCAGCAATCCCGCTCCTAGGAATATACCCAAAGCAAAGGAAAACACTATGTCACAGAGATGTGTGCATCGCCATGTTCATGGCCACGTTGTCTACGAAGGCCAAGATGCAGAATCCACCTCAGTGTCCATCGACAGATGAATGGGTAGAGAAGTGGGCCTTGTATACAATGGAATATCACTCAGCCATCAAAGGGAAGGAGATCCTGCCGTCCACAACATGGACGGAACAGGGCATTTTGCTAAATGAAGTAAGTCAGACAAAGACAGATATTGTATGATCTCACTTATATGCAGAATCTTAAAAAAAAAAGAAAAAAAGCCTCATAGGAAAAGAGATCAGATTTGTGGTCAGAGGTAGGAGATAGTGGGTGGGAGAATTGGAATAAGATGGTCAAAATGTACAAATTTCTAATTATAAGATAAATAACTACAGGGAGATAATGTACAACATGGTGATTATAGTTAACTCTGCTATATGGTGTATTTGAAAGTTATTAAGACAGTAGTAGATCCTAAGAGTTCTCAGGACAAGAAAAAAGAATTTTTTTGTATCTATATGAGGTGATGAATGTTAATTACTTTTATTGTAATAATTTCCCAATATATGTAATGAGTCATGCTTTACAGCTTGAGCTCCTGTGGCGCTTTATTTCAGTTATATTTTAATAAAACCGGAAAAAATATGCATGCTGAAGTATGATCTTTTGCCTCTTTCAAATGGCTTGGTAAAAAAAAAAAAAAAGTATGTGACGAAACAAAATAGGGTAAAACGTTAACAACTGTTTAACCTAGTGGTGTCAATAGGAGTATTTATCTTACTATCCTTGTAACTTTTCTGTTTGAAAATTTTCTTAAGTCGGGCACACAGAAGATACATCTCCTCCATTTCACTCCATATTTATTTAAGATGGAGCATCACGTATGATTAGGTTTGGCTGTGAGTAAGAGATCTAAAATACCAGCAGCTTTAACAAGATGGAAGCTTATTTCTCTATGTGAAAGTTCACAGGTAGGTGGTTAGGCAGGTAGGTGGCTTTGCAGCACGTTGTCCTCAGGACCGAGGCTCCTTCCATCTTATTGCTCCCCAATAGGCTACTTCCCTTACTTCATGGCCCAAGACAGCTGCTCCCACTCCCGCCATCGCATCCACATTCCAGCAGGCAGAAGAAAAGGAGGTAAAGGGCACATTCCTGCTACTTTTAGGAAAAACCCCTTGAGGCCACCCCAAAACATCTCCTCGACCAAAGCTCAGTTTTGTAGCTATAAGGGAGGCCGGAAAGGCCTTCATCCTAGGCAGCCCCATAACCAGCCTAAAACTGGCCGTTGGTGACTTTGAAGGACAGGAAGGGAGGAAATCCAAGGACAGTGTGTAAGCTCCGCCCTGCCACGAAAGGGCGTTTTAAACTCAGGTTCTGGCCGGTGGTCTTCTCCCAGGGCTTAGCAGGAAAGATCACGAGGCAGCCGACTTCAGGGACCTCTTGTCATACACACCCAGCAAGGGAGCCAAGCTGCCCAAACAAACCCCGCTTGGAGAGAAAGCCCTGGCTCCTCGTGACCAGACCACTGTCCCTCTTCTCTGTCCCGCAGTGTCGAACCTGTCCCAGTACTTCAGCCTGGCCTCGGTGGCCAACAGCCCGGCCCGCGCCCTCCTGCTGGTGGGCATCATCCTGCTGGCCTACTGCTTCCTGTCGCTGACCCTGGGCTTGACCTTCAGCCTCCTGCACGTGGTGTTTGGCCGCTTCTTCTGGGTGGCACGGGTCATCCTGTTCTCCATGTCCTGCATGTACGTGCTGCACAAGTACGAGGGGGAGCCGGAGAACGCCATACTGCCCCTCTGCTTCGTGGTGGCCATCTACTTCATGACCGGGCCCATGGGCTTCTACTGGCGCAGCGGGCCCAGCGGCCCCAGCGTGGAGGAGAAGCTGGAGCAACTGGAGAACCAGGTCAGGCTGCTCAACATCCGCTTCAACAAGGTTCTGGAGAGTCTGGACCGCGCCAACGGCAAGTGACAATCAGCCAGCCGGCCGGGTCCCCTCACGCCAGCGCCCTCTCTCAGAAAACAGAAGCGGAGAAGGAAGAAGAGAGCACCCAACCCCAAGCAATTTCAATAAACACTCCCGAGCACGGCGGGTGGCGCTCCGTGAGGGTCTTTCCGGCCACGTGTCGACCCCGAGGACACGTTCCCCAAGGGATGGCGGGATCGTTTGTGTGGAACTACCCACGAAGTGTCATTAGTGGGGGAGGGGGGGGAAAGAATATTTTTTAAACAAAGGATATAACCGTATTAGCTGTACAGGAAGAGTTTATCTGTGCATAGAGCATAAAGTTAATTTTTTCAAGCACTTCAGTACATCTTTTGTAAGGTTTTTTAATAAAGGCGGATCGAGTCAAGTTGAATCAGACTTTACACTGAGGGGAAGGATATGCTAACTGGACACTTTCGACGAGAAGCTCCAACACTGGAATTGGGTTTCCCAGCACAGGGGTTGGTGGGGGGGGTCTGTGTGCATGATTCTCGTGCTCCAAAACCCTGGGCTTCATCGGATGTCATTTTCGGTTGATGGCGACTTAGTGGACGGATGGTGTTGGTTCTGGGTGTGGGTAGTCAGGGTCCAGGACAAAACGAAACATCTTTTGGGTCCTAGTGGCCCCGGCCAGGCCCCTGTCAACTCTATTTCTAAAAGAAAAGATTATTCTTTGTGGAAAATCTGTTTTTTAGTTGTTTGCTTTGTTTTGTTTCCTTCTGAACTTTGATGTATTTTAACCTCCACGTTTTGTAGAGGAAAATTCAAGGACCAGGCAAAGAAGTGTCTTTGGGGTTTGATGCTGAGAGCCATGTGAATGAGCACCAAAGCTCCCTCCATCAGGAGTCTGGATGCCCTCATGTCGCTGTCCGCCTGCTGGACCTCTAGAGGGAAGTTATGGCCTCAAGGGTTGTTGTTTTTTCCCCTGTAGTTTTGGTGGACTCGGGACCATGAAAGAAGAGCAAATCGTAGCAGCTGAGAGCATTTCCAAGTCGATGGCTTCTTCTAAGGTGTTCTCAGGAGCAATTAGCAGCAAGAAACACACCTTGGAGAAGATCTGAATTATTTTTCCTAAAATTTTTATGATCCATGCATCAGGTGCTTTCTGTCTGAAGTCTGTGGTGCCCTTGTCTTAGGTGGTGCCCTGGGGCAGAGAAGAACATACTGGGCAGACAGTGGTGGGGGGTCTTGCTGGGGTGCCTTGCGAGGCTGGGTCAGGGGTGCAGGGAAGTGCCCCAGTCTCGCGCCCCCCACCCCCCGGTCCTGTTGATAAGCGCTGGGGAACACACAGTGAGGAAGGGAGACTCCAGCTTTGCCAGAAGGCAGTTCTGAAGGCTGCCAAGGGTGGCAACTCCCTCCACGATCCTTCCCTGCCCAGCTCGGTGCCCCAGGGGGCCCCTCCTGGAGCCCCTGCACGCAGATTTGCAGAGACCCCTCTCAGATTGGGCAGAACCACGACCCCATGGTCCACAGAGCATTCTGGAGAAAACCCAGCTGTGCGCCAACTCTTGTGCGGAATTCCCGGGAGGTTTTATTGGGGGTTGCAAATCTCTAGAAAACAAAAGCAACTATTTTTGAGGGTGTTAGAGGAACTTCTCTTTCTAAGGTGCACATAATGGGACCCAAGCTCGGCTGCATTCAGTTCGTTTCCTGGAATGCACACCTGTCCCTCTCCGGCCTGTGCTCAGGCAAGACTTCATCCGTGGGCATCTGGAGCCTGTGGTTTTTTTGGATTGGAGGAGTTTCAGTTTTGCCATTCCGATACTTCCAGACAAATCTATCAGCACGGTGTCTAAAAAATAACTCCAGGAAGGCTGTCCTTGCTCTCCTTCCTTTTGTGCATTTGGCTTCTGCATACTGGGTGTGCTTAGGTACTGGGTAAAACATTGGCTTTGCCAACGTTGGCCAGGAGAGAATTGGCATTCGGTGCACAAAGCTTTAAAGTCCCCCACTATCCCAGGTCTGGATAGAACCTCCACTCCATTCCCCCTGCCCCCTTCCCACGCGAAGCCGGAAGGGCACTGTGCTAATCTGTGATCTAGGCAGGAACGCCGTTGGGACCTCCAGCAAATCCCGGGAGCCTCGCGCCTCTGGGCCCCGGTGCATTGAGACTAGAAATTTCTGCGGGGAAAATGTACCCCTTTGACCCAGTGAGACAAGACTGAGGCCGGTCTTAGAGTCTGACACACTCAGATGAAAGATGGCTTTATCTTCAATGAAAGAACCTAGAGTTAAACAGGTGTATCACTTTAGGGCAGAAGGTCAATTTGAAATTCTGGTAGGAATCGTGGTTATTAGATCTGGATAACTCTTGCTCTTTGATGCCCACGTTTGCTTTTTTGTTCGGGCACGTTCGTACCTCCAGATAGTTTGGGATTTTTTTTTTTCCCTTTCATGGAAGCTTGTTAGGGTACTTGGCTATTCCCAGAGCCCCCCATCTCTTTCTTTTCCCTCTCTTTTGTACATGGAAAAAAAATGTATTTTTGTACCATAGCTCATACCTGGAAGCGAAACCCTTTTTTTATGTCTCCCAGGGCATAGAATATATTAGTACAACACTTCCTTCCATGTGACGTAACCAATCCTGATGAGAACTACTGTGAATGGGTGGTCATGACAACTCCGTTTTCTAGATCTCTTAAAGTTCATCAGTGTTTATTTCCCAGTGCCTCAGTGTCCCGACACACACCAAGAACAGAAAAGAGAAAGGACCAGCTCTCTCTAACTGGCTGGATTTGTGCGGCAGCTCTGGAGTCAGTGTTGACAATGACCTCTTCCCCGGCATGCTAGACAAGGCGTTTCTGCGGCACTCCAGCCTTCCATCCATACATTCCCCATAGCGATCAGGAGTGGGGTCATCTGCCTTCCGGGGGCTTGGGGCTGTTTCAGCAATACCCCATATCACTTCTGGTAACAAAGTGAAGCCATAGAACTTTTCGGAAGCTGGTCTTGTGCATCAATCGTGCCGGGATCTTTATTGATGAAGGTGATGGGGTGACTGGCACGGGAGGCGAATACCATTGAAAGAAGGTTTGTCACACAGTTCCCTAAAGCCAATGGGCACCGCGCGCTGCGAAAGGCCCCCCGCAAGCCCGTCGAGCGCAGGGTCAGGAAGCGGAGAGGGGAGTCTGTGCTTGATGACTGTGGTGGTGGCAGGTGACCAGGCTTGAACGTCCCTTCCTGGGAGCCATGGGCAAACATACAGAGTCAGGGTCAGTGGTTGGGGGGATTATACTAGGACTTGGCACAGCCCTGAGGGCTAGCTCGGTGGGGAAGATGCAAACCCAGTCGGCTGCTAGTCTGTCTCTGGCTTGCAGCCTTAGGGAACGGTGAGGAATAAGGTCACATAGCCAGTGCGGCACCGAAAACACAGTGAATGCAGCCTGTCCCGGTGGCAGTCCCAAGACCCTTCATTTCTACGCCTCTTGCTGCTTTTTAAGCTGCTGTACCTGACTGACACCTGATCACCCCTCCATGATGGGGTTTGAATTGTCTGACTTAACCCAAAAGCCGGCTCATGTTAGAAGGACTTTCTAAGGCCCTAAGATGTCATCTCCCTTCCCCAACTTAAAAAAAAAGTATATATATATATATGTGTATATACATATATATGTGTGTGTGTATACATATATATACATATATACACACACAATTATATATATATATATATATCTCCATTCTGCAAAGTTTTGTTTGTCATCTGAGTAATTGGACTTTTGCTCCTCACTTGTGAATAGTGAATAGAATTATATATATATTTTTGGCAGGATCTAACATAGTACCCTTAAAATTAGTATTGGACAGCCATCGAGATGATGTACAATATTTGGTATAAACAACCTTTGTTCAGCGCGCTGAATTCTGCGCTTTCCTCCTCGATGATCCCCCAATTTGCAGGCGATGCACCAGGACCGGTTTTTCCACTGCGGTGGCATAAAAAGCTGACTGTCATTTGCATCTGTCTACTGAAAACCTGTGGCAGCTAATGGTGTCATTGACCCTCTGTTCCAATGTCTTTTAGTGGATTTAAAGGTTTTGTTATAGTGTCAGCTCTAATATTCGCATGTGTGTTAAATCTCTGGATACCGTGTAATTAAATTGATTTCTTGTGATGGTGACAGTGATTAGCACTCACTTAAAATCCGGCAAAGCGACTATTTCCCCTCTTAACTGGAAATCATATTTGTAAGGTATGGTGTCCATTATCGACAGTGTATTCATGATTCAGTTTCTATTTTGTGTATCTGGTTATAAATTTTTCTATAGCATTTGATTTCACACTTACTATAAATCCATTTGATTTGAATATGGTGGTGTGTGTGTGTATGTGACGTGTGCACACTTTAGTTCCATAAGCCTTGGGAAAACTGATTCTGTGACTATCAAATATAGACATAAATGTATAAGGCTTATTTTATTTGCAAAATGGTACTTACATTCCTCCTATTTATTAAATCACTGGCTTTCATGTTCTGTAGAGATATTTGTAGACCGATTTCAGAACAGAATGAAAATATTGTGAAAATTACAGCTTAATAAATGTTTATTGTAATTTTGTTGTACGGGCTTCTTAAATATGTTTCCTTCCTTCTGACCAAGCATTTGTGGAGTCTTCCCCAGTTTTGACATGTCATGGTGATCTTATGATTCTATTCCCCAGTCCGAGAAGAGTCCAATAATCTTGATATGTTCAGTTGGAGGGAGGGTGACCAGATAAAAGACAGACACACCCAATTAAATGTGAATTTCAGATAAGCAACAAATACTTCCTTAAGTGTAAGTGTATCTTCTGCCATATTTGGGATATACTTATAAAAAGTATCTGTTGCTTATCCAAAACGCAGATGTAACTGGGAATCCTGGATTTTTATTTGTAAGTTCCGGCAACCCAAACTGGGTTTTGCAACAGATGTATACCCCTCCGTCCCATCCTGAACCAAGATGCCTTTGTGGGCGCTAAACATTATGTCCTTAGCAAATATTCAGGAGCAAATGTAATAGAAGAGTCCAGTTAAATACACTTACGACCCAAAAGTACTGCTCCTGGGTGGGAGGGTGTGCTATTTGGAGGGTGGGTGGCCCACCCCTGGGAGAGAGAGTGGCCTAGAGGCGGGCACCCCACACCGTGGGAGGACAGCGCAGCCGTGCATAGCCTCAAGCAGCAGCTCTGGGGGACGAAGTAGAAATCCCAGGGAGATATGAAAGCATTGTCCATTGGAGTGAATTAAATACATGTGATTGACCGTTTTGCAAGAGCACATCTGGGAAAAAAAAAAAAGATGGGGTGAAGAAGTAGGTGGGAACGGAGGGTGGGAGCAGGTCT